CGCTGCCAGCCTGGTGCCTCCCCCAGGCCGACGACCCGCAGGCGCGGCAGCAGCTGCGCTACGCTGTGGCGGTGCCGCCGCCGTCCGCTCGAGGGCGCCCGATCGGCCGGGCCCCCGGGGGGCCCAGTGGGCCTCAGCCCGCCCCGAGCAGACCCTGCGCGAAGAGCCCGGAATCATCCTCGCCCTGACTCGCTTTCCGTCTCCGCGGGCCGCTGGGCACGGGCGCCGCCGCGAGCTCTCCGCCTTTGCGGCGCGGATGGGGGGCGGCGAGGCGGGCTGTCCGCCCCCCGCTCCGCGCCCACCCAAGCGGCAGAGTACTCCGGTGGGGGCGACCGCCCGCGGGGAGGGGGCAGGGGCGGCGATCGATTGGCCGGCCAGGCGACTGCAAGGGCTGCGCTCGGCCCCGGCGGCGCGTAGAGGCCGCGCAGCGGCGGCCCGGGAGGGGGCGGGGAGGGCCCGGAGAGGGGAGCGGAGAGCTGCGGCGTCTCCGCCGGCGGTGAGGGGTACCTAGGTGGAGCCGGCCCCGGCAGGCACGGGTGGAGAACGGGGACCCTTCCACGCACACCCTGCCGTCAGCAGGGGAGGCGTCCGCGGTGCGCGGTTTGTAAGGGCCGCTCACGGTGCAGGGGGCAAACACCGCCTGCCGATCTGTGGGAGAGGCCGGAGATGTCGGTGAAGTCCTTAGTTTGTCACGGGAGTGACGGGTTTTTTGCGTTGTTGCCAGATAAGCGTTGGTCAGTCTGATCCCTTCGCATGAGGTGGTAACACGGAACGCGGCTAAGGGTTTCGCTTAAAAGTAGTGGAAATTTCTCTGTGTTGAGGTAAACAGCTGCATGTCCCGGGCCAATCCGGCTGCGTTTGGGCTTCTGGGAAAGTAAAATAATGGCAAAATTGATACACACATAACCAAAGAAAAGTCACTACTTAGGAAAATTTACTACCCGGGGGGTGGATTTGCTGCCGTCAATGGAGAAAGCGTGTGAGATCTGAATGTTTACACAATTAATTTTCATTTGCACGTAACAGCAGTGCCACCTTCGCCTGTGCCATGCTGTGAGTGGGAAAGGTGTCCACAAATCATGCCTCTGCTGGCGTTACCCAGCTGTGCCACCCTGTTCCATCCCTCCTTCATGTCATTTGGTTGACGTTTTCACCTAGCGTTGGAAGAATTTACCATGACTGCCAAGAGGGCTAGCGCCTCTGGGACCAGTAGCCTTCTTGACGGGATTCATGTGTCCCAGCAATCACATAAAGTCATTGAAAGCCTTTCTCAATTTGGTTGCTTTAACTCCACAGAGCTAACCCCTTATGTACTCAGCCTCCAATCAGGAAATGACCGGCAGCTTCTATCTTGTCATCCTGTGGAATACAAGGGTCAGAAGTACTTTCCTGTCGCATTTTCTGCTTCAAAGGTGTCTGCACCTCTTTCAGATTGGAGCTATAGGGCAAGCACATGCAGCCTGCATGAAGCTCCTGGCAATACACAGATGGCAGAAAGAGATGAAGAGGGCCACTATTGCGTTATGATGATTCATTTTTCACTCACTTCCTGGGGGAAAGTGGCTTTAAAACTGCTCCCATACTAAAGATATTACATAAGATTGCGTTGTAGTACAGACTTTTTTTTTTTTTTTTTTTTTTTTTAGTGAGCCCTCCAAAACTTTGCAGATTGGAATACTGGAGTACTTTATTCGACAGGAAAAGGTGTGAAAAGAGGATCAGTCCTTCAACTAAGACAATCTTTCTAACTTTTTTTTTCACCTAGGTTGTCTTCCAGAAGTAAGCTAAGAAAAGATATTTCTGCAGTATGAAGCTACTTCAGCTATTAATCTAACATGCACTGAAGACTACAGGCTGTCTGGAAGCTGAGGAAGGTTGTTTACGTGCAGTATGGGTCAGCAGTCTTGCAGACATGTAAGCTGACAGTTCGGGTACTGTGCATTTCATTTTCTGCTGGAGCTGAGTAGTTCCACTTTCCTGTTGGTTTTAAATTTAAATCAAGCCTTTTCAAGATAATATCATTACAAGAGCTAGGTCCAGATTCAGCTAGCCGGATCTACTCTCAGTACTGGAGACTTTTCACTTCAGATGAATTCAGGCCTTACTGGTTTGAGTGAGAACAATCGCTACAGGAATATCTGACACTGGTGCAAGCTCATTTGCAGACTGGGAATGCTTGTTTTTAACAACGTTATAACTAATTCTGCCTAAAAACCAACACAAAATTTGAGTCTAGGTTTCCATAGCTCCAAGTATTCTGCTAGAATCAGTCGTCCGGTATGATTCTCAGGGTTCTTCTGTGGTCCAATGTTGAAAAGTGACATTAGGTATGTTGTTTGATTAAAAATTGAACAAATTAAACCTCCACTGTGCCCAAGGCATGATAAAAAAAGCTGGTAACAGCTGAAGTGGCATTTAAGGCTTTGTGTCAGCCAGACTTTGCATGGGTTGGGATCATTGGGATCACTGGGATGATCCTTAAACTGAATCCTTCATCTCATAACCAGTGCCTGGTTATGACAGGGACATAGAGAAAAGACCTGCTGCAAATAAGACTGACAAGATGGTAGCTGAAAAAAAGTAATTCAACAGAGAATTTGGCAGATTTTTTAAAAGGATGCCTCTCTCAACAGAAAGCTCATACACATATTTTAAAAGGCAAATAAAGGCATATTTCCACAGGCAAATAAAGATGTTCACCTGCAAATTTCTTGTAGAGAAAATGCACATCTATCTTCCTGCAGGTATTAATTTGTCTTTAAGAGAAAGACGTGAAATCAACACGACTTAAAACTCTCACTGTTGAGTGCAATAGTACAGGTGGCATAGCAGATATTTCCACTGGTGCTGACTTCATGACTGCTGTGTTTTCCACATCTGCCGCTGGCTGCTGCTTACTGCAGAGGTAGCCTACATTGCCATTTATGAGTTGGAGGCCAGTCCTGCTGGATGCTAAGTTTCTCCCATAAGAGTCACTGGGCACAAGTTGAAGTCACTGGCTTATTGTCTGGCTAAGGATTAGATCTGCAGAGAAGTGTGAGTCTGTTGTTGAAGCTACCTCTGGGACATTGCTACCCTCATTGAAGAATGAGAAATGCAAAAGGCAGAAGATGGGACACATCTCTCAGGAAAAAGCATTTGTATTTTTAATACATGAAAATATATTCAGGTCCTCTATTCCTGCAGTAAAATAACATTTTCCTACAGAAATCCTACACAGAAATCCTAGAGCTTTAAGATGAGCCCTCTGATTTCCTTCATATTCCATCCCAGCATTTACTTTGAAGTTGCACTGTTGCTGTGCTTCCAGTTATCCAGTAGTCATTTCTATACTGTGCTGTAGCTTCCATTTGTTGCAAATGAGTTGCAATCATCTTACCCAACATACATATAAAAGCTTTTCTTGTTGCCCTTAATGTCCCTGCTGAGATTTAACTCTTATCTGGGCTTTAGCTATCCTAACCTGATTCCTGGCTGCTTGGACAATTTCTCTGTGTTCCTCCCAGGCTATCCGTACACACTCTGTAGGCTTCCTTTTTGCTTTTGAGTGTGTATGGGAGCTCCTTGTTCACCCATGCAGGCATCCTGGTATTTTTGCTTGACTTCCTCTTAGTTGGGATGCATCCCTCCTGAGCTTGGAGGAGGTGGTCCTTGTATATTAATCAGCTTTCTGGGACACCTCTTCCCTCTAGTGCTTTATCCCATGGTACTCTGTCAAGGAGATCCCTGAAAGAGACCAAAGTCTGCTCTCCTAAGTCCAGAGCAGTGGGCTTGCTGTGTGTCCGCCTCGCTGCCCTAAAGATATTGAATTCCATCATCTCATGGTCACTGAAGCCAAGGCTGCCCTGAGCTTCTCATTCCCCAGCAGACCCTCCTTGTTGGTGAGAACAAGGTCCAGCATAGCAGCTCTCCTTGTTGGCTGCTCCATCACTTAGAGGAGGAAGTTATTGTCAATGCATTCCAGGAACCTCCTGGATTGCTTATGCCCTGCTTATGCTTATGTCCCTCCAACAGATATTGGGGTGGTTGAAGTCTGCCAGTAAGGACCAGGACTTGTGAACATGGGGCTGCTCCTATCTGTCTATGGAGGGCATGGTCTGCTCAGTCTTCGTGGTCAGGTGGCCAGTAGGAGATGCCCAGTGTAACATCACCTGCCCCTGCCTTCCCTTTGTTCCTGACCCATAAGCTCTCAGTTGGCTCCCCATCCATGCACTCCAGCTGATCATTGACATAGAGGGTAACATGCCCTCCTCATCTTCCCTGCCTGTTCTTCCTGAAGAGCCTGGTATCCTTTCTTTCCAACACTCCAGTCCTAAGAGCCATCCCACCATGTCTCTGTGGTGCCAACAAGATCAGAGCCCTGCAGGTGTGTGCATGTCTCTTAACTCCTGTTTGTATAAAGGCATTAAGTTGGGCACCCAATGAAGGTGACTTACTGGCTGGAGTGGCTGAAATTCCTTTGTGCAGCACTCCAGGTGCTCTCCTGCTGACCTGTGATCCTCATCTAGGCTCCAGGCATCTTTTGCTGGCACTGGCATCATACTGGTAGGAGTGGGATGCATTGATGTTCCCCTCCCCTAGCAGCTTTAGTTTAAAGCTCTCTTTACCAGCTTGGCAAGCCTTAGGCCAAAGATGCTCTTCTTCTTCTCTGAGAGGTGGATCCCATCAGCCCCCAGTAGACCTTGTTTCTCAAAGCAAGTCCCGTGAACTAAGTAGCCAAACCCCTGGCTGTGGCACCAGTCCTGTAACCGTTTGTTGATTTGCCAAATTCAGTTGGGTCTATCGACCCCCTTCTCTTTGACCAGCAGGATTGATGAAAAAACTACCTGCACTCCAGACTCCCTGACCACCACTTCAAGGGCTCTGTAATCTTTCTCGATACTCCTCAGACTGCTCGTGGTGCTATCACTGGTGCCCATGTGAAACAACAGCAGCAGATCATAGTAAGCAGACTGCACAGGGTTTGGTAGTCTCTCAATGACATCCCTGATACAAGCCCTGGATAAGCAGCACCTCTCTAGAGAGTGCTTCAGGTTGGCAATGGGTGCCTCTGTACCTCGCAGAAGAGAGTCGCCTGCTATCGCCCGTCGCCTTCTCTTCCTTAAACTGGTTGTTACTCAGGGAGCAGATCCGGGGTCCTTTCTCAGCTCCAGTGCCTCTCCTGATGCAGCAGGTCTTCCTTCTTCACCTGTCAGAGCTGTGAAGTGGTTCTGCAAGGGCAGATCAGGGTTTTAGTGGGGATGTCTCTTCCTCCTGCTGGTCTTTTCAATTACAAGTTTCCACTCTGTGTTACTGTCCCCCTTCCTGCTGTGTGCGCCAGAGTGGGGGTTTTTGACTGTTTGGCTGTGTGTCCACTGCAGACTGCGCCTGTAACCAGCTGTCTCTCTGCTTCTCAGCCTCCCTGATGCTACGCAGCTTCCTCACCACCTTCTGCAGCTCAGCCACCTTTTGCAGGCAGGTCTGCTGCCTGTCCCTGCCCCAGGAGAAAGGTCAAGGCACCTCCTGCAGGTCTGAGGTCTGTGCTGCAGCTTCTCCCTTCAGCAGCTCCGTCTGGGTGGAGGCATCAGCTGCCGCTGGGGTGGATGGTGCAGACCTTCCAGCCAGAGCTGCAGCCTTTGCTCGCAGACCAGTGCCCACCATTCTGCCTTGAGGTCACAGAACAGTACCTGGTGCTTAACCAGCTGCTGCTTTGAAGAGGTGCCCTTCTCAAGCGCTCTTCTGTGTAGACTGCTGTCCAAACTGCTGCACCATGCTCCAGCTGACATACCCCACACGCCCTATTTGCCCACCCTGTTCGCCACAGCCCTGGTCACTTGCACTGCCCAGGCATGCACAAGTACAGTGGGAGCACAGGGTCTAGCAACAGTGTCAACAGAGTTGGGAGGCTGGGAAGGCAACCAAATAAGAGCTGTCCATTCTTCCTTGAACATGCTTCCCAAAGTGTGGCTTGCCCCCCATAAGTACATCAAAGCAACACACAGTCTTAATCCCACATGCTATCACAGTGGCATGCTCTTCTCCCTACTGTTCTTCTCCCTACTGTCTCAATGCTCAGTGCTTTGCATGCACCATGCTATGCCTTTCTGGCCACCACAGTTGTCTCAGCAGTGGAAGCTGGACCTACTTCCTCTCAAAGGATGAAGCACAGTTAGATACAATTGCTACCTTGTTTGACACATTCTCTTCTACTTGTTATATCCTAAATATGGAACAACCTTAGCTTGAGTTTGAGGACTAAAATGTAACTCAGCTCATGATAGTGTATAAGGGATATTGTCCTTTGTAACAGGCTTATGAATATATGTCAAAGTGGGCTGAGGAGTTCTTGCGAAATATTACTGCTTAGTTGTACTTGCCAACAGGTATTTTAAAGTTGATATGAATGCAATATACAGATATAACTTATTTGTGTGGTCTTTTTGTTCATATAGACCTTAAACAGGTTGTTTGTTTTGTTTTTTAAAATAAGAAAGGTTGCAGCCCATAAAATCAGCCAGACTGCCACCACTATGGCATCCAGGCCACACATCTGCTAAATAATATGGCAAATTTGCCCAGTCCAGGGAAGACCATGATATCTCTGAAACTACATACAAACTGAATTACTGCTAGGAAAAACAAGCGAAATCTCTCTTCTTGAACATTTCTGCAAGAAACCACAATAAGAAAGCCTATAGACCTTTCCAAATCACAAAATGGTTGTAAGACAAAATTATCTCATTTGCAGGTGTGATTTTACTGCAGAAAACAGGACAATACATTCTTATGAGGCCTGCTCTAATTCTTAATTAATCTAATCCCATTTTTTATAGAGTAATTCTATCTGCTGCTCTTCAGAAAAATGATGTTTGAATCACACTGCTTTACTGCTTAGGGTAGTAAGATAGATGGGGCAAATGTGGAAAGTTAAATATACAGGAAGAACACTGAGAGCTGTGGAAGGGTATGTGGACTGAGAATGTCCATTCCTTTAAGGGTATCTTGTCAGACCAGCCATAAATCAGAACATACAAAGGCAGAAACCTGACTGACAAATGGTAAGACCAAAAATTGTCAGTCAAACCAATTCGTAAGGATATGTGGAGTGTATGTTTATTTTTTTCAGGAAGATTATCTTCTTAAGGACCTTGCAAAATTGGCATGATAAGGGAGGAAGAAAAATAGAGAGACTCATAAAATCTGAGCAATTAGCATTAACAAAGACAACAACCAGAAACGAATGTGGTCAGTCATACCAATCGGTGGGCTATCAAGAAACTGCAGGCAAATTTGGAACTTTGCAGTGGATAAGGATACAAACCTGAGCATCCAGGATGTTGGGGCGGGGAGGGTGGGGTAAGGGGGGGTGGAGTAGAGAGGGACTGTGAGTGGGATTATGCCAGCCGAGGAGCTATAGTTGGTGTTTACTACAGGCCACCAGATCAAGAGGAGGGTGTTAATGAAGTATCTTTCTTCAGCTACAGGAAGCATCGCACTCGCAGGCTCTGATCCTACTGGGGAACTTCAATAACATCCTCTGCAAAAAACAGCACAGCAAGCAGTAAACAGTCCAGGAGACTCTTGGATTGCACTGAGGATAATTTCTTTATCCAGGTGATAGACAGCCCAACAAGAGGAGAAGAATTTCCAGCATAATAATAATAAGGGCTTCTGCAGGTACGTTGGTGAGGAAAGGAAGACAAAAGAAAATGTAAGGCCCTTATTTATAAAGACAGGATGTCTAGTCACAACTGACACACAAAAGACTGAGGTCCTCAATATGCTTTTTGCCTCAGTTTTCGATGGTAATCTCTCTTCCCATGTCTCTCAAGCCGCTGAATCTCAGGGCAGGGACAGGGGCAATGAAGTTCCTTGCATCATATGAGATCAGGTTTTAGGCCACATGAGGAACCTGAAAACACACAAGTCCATGGGATGTGCCAAGATGCATCCCAGAGTCCTGAGGGAATTGGCTGATGCAGTTGCAAAACCACTGTCTGCCAGTCATGGGCAGTCAGGTGAAGTCCCCAGTGACTGGAGAAATGGAAACATCCCACCATTTTTAAAAAGGGTAAAAAGGAGAACCCTGGGGACTACTGACCAATCAGCCTGTATTTGCTACATTTTCATCTCTACCTGAAAAAGTAAAAATGCAGTTTATTGCTCAGGGGGGCATGGAACTACACCGGTCAGTGTCTGAAATGACACCACCACGTTTCTCTAGTTTGCAGCACATGTGTGATCAACGTAGTGCTAACTATGCATGTGCATAACTATGCTTGTGCATGCACAACATGCACAACTGTTGTGCATGCACAACTACGCATGTGCTAGCTATGCTTGTGCATGCACAACATAGTGCTAACTATGTTGTTAGCACCAGCTGCAAGTCCGGAGGGACACCACAAAAGAGTATTTCAGCTGCATTTTTGCAGCTATTACGTTTCCTGCTTTGGGGCTGAGGTTATTCTCTTATGGTTAAACTTGTCCTGGGGGCAGATGAGTCCACATCTGCTAAGTGCTCCTCTTCCTCTAGTAGGTCTGTTGGTATCCACTGTCTATAGATAGCACATGGAAAAGTGTAAACAGTGGTTAGATCTAACTAGACACTAAAAGCCTAACTTTGTCTTTGCTACGTTTGCTGCTATGCGGTTTCTGGTACAAAGGAAGGAAGGGGGAGTTTGAAGGGAAATTTGTAGTTTCTCAAGATCTGCACCACCTTAATACATGGGGAGACACATGGGCCTTGCCCACTTTCCCATGTGTTCTATATGAGCAGGCTCCCACCCCTGAAAGGGGCAGTCTCTTCCATCACCACAATTTGGCATGGCAGGGGGGCATTCCTATTCTCTCCTTCTTCAGGTCCAATTACCGTAACACAACTAACAAAGTTAAAGAGCCTTATGTTTATACTGGACAACATCTGCATGCTGTAACTGATTTGCAAGGCTGTGACCTGTATGGTCACAGGTGTATGTATGTACAGGTGTATGGTGCACCTGTTCCAGCATGGCCCTATCCATGGGCCTTAGTGCCTTCAGAGGTACACCTGCATTCAGTGGCACTCATTCTACACTGGACAGTCCCTGTAACCAGGTGATGCTCTCAGACTTCAGCAGTCTCACAGTGGCTGGTCCATAGGACCAACTGGAAATAAAACACAAAGTGCCTTTTGCAAACAATAGAAAGTGGAGATAGGAAGCACACCCACACACTCCATAACTCCTCATTTCATTGAATGGGCTCCTGGGCTTTTATTTTATATTTAAAATACAGAAAGCAAACAAAATCAACAACTCTCTACTGGATCAAGTTGGGTTGTTTGTTGTTTTTTTTTTTCTAAAGGAAAAGTCTGATGTAATGCCAGTAGGAATTGATGATTCTGTTCCTTTCAGCATTTGAATCAGATCCTGGTAATTTTACAAAACCCTGGCCTAAGTATTAGAACAATAAAGATGAGGACAGTAGGCCTTTGGATGCTCTGAACAGAGTGAAGTGGCAACAGTTTGTTCAGAGCAAGTAGAGTCTCTTCCCACTGCTGAAGAATCTTGGAAAGGCTGGCCCAGGCAGACAAAGAACAAATCGGTTGGACTTTGTTGCTCACCTAAAGTGCTGTTCAACTCAAAAATATGGAGATAAAGAATTTCTCAGCCCTCTGTATGTGGGCTGAGAAAGCGTGAGATCCAAGAGATCCAGCTAGAGACAGACTTGTAGGAGCTACTACCACAATAACTAATACAAGAACTGTATAATAATAGCTACTAGCAAAAACTGCTACAAGTAACCTGCCTGGTGTGCTGGCCTCAGTATTGAAGTACCTTGTGTAAATGTGACCGACTAAAAGCAATACTGAGGAATAGTGCTTTGGCTGTGGTCTGGGAGAATGTTCTTCCAGAATATTCCCCACAAGTCTTCCGCACTACACAGCTGCCCGTGGTGGCTCACAAGAAAGTTGTTCTTTGTTTATTTCCTTATTGAAGCAGAACCTGGGAAATACCGTAAGCATGTTAGAAACACCTGTGCTTTCACCAAGGTCTCTGGCCAACCTGCCATCATTTGTTCTTGTTCTCTCCAGTCTTAATCAATGTTTTCTAGGTATTTTCCAGCAGTATTTGCTGCCAACAAAGGAATTCAGATTGTTTTCCTGCATGATTTCAGCTGGTTTTTTTATGGCAGCAGGAAGAACAAAGGTTTCCACAATAGTATGTGGCTTTTTGTCTCTGACTATTAAATATGAAACCTGAAAGAGGCTGCTAGAAATTTATCATAAAGTTAAGTGACATTTTGTAAGTGTTGTGGACTGAGTATCACACGACTCAGACCATCGCTGAATAAATGGTAGAAGTTTGTTTCCATGTTCTGGATGCTTTGTTTGTAACTGTCTGCTAAAGGTGATGGTGTCATACTGTCATTAGCCCAGCTCTCAAGGCACGGTATACCCTTAGTGCAAGATTCATCTTCCACAGTAGAGTGTGTGCATCCCTATTTCTGATAGTCGTCTTGATGAATTTAAAGTTGCTTTGGCTCAGCTTGGATCTGCAATGGTGTTTCAATAATGTGCAGATGTTAAGTCCATAGGGCTCAGAACATCTGCATGTTATCAGCACAAACAGTTCAAAAAGATGTAACGCTTTATTGGGCTATTTGTGCCCTGGATTACAGAATAACTCTGCCCTTGTATGCACAAGTGAGCTGTACTATGAGTGTAATCCCCTTTGCTCCGCTGGTTGACATGAGAAGGTGAAATGAAAAAGTCTCTGCATGGGGGAGAGGGAGTAGCAATCTGGTGCCAATTGTTAAAGGGGACTGTTTCCAGGGTCCAGTCTTCTGGTTTCTACAGTCTAGAAAATGAAGTAGAATTTCCTGCTTAATTACCAACAGCTTGCCCCCTGCCCTCTAAAATCCGGGGTCTCATATTTGAGGAACTCTGGACTTGGGCAACAGGAGGCACCACAATGAGGCCTATCCTTGGAGCTGCCCCAGCCACAGTTTGGAATAGGAGACACTGTAGCATGCTGGGCTAGTCACATGCAAATTGTTGCGACTTGCTTCATGGCCTTCTGTTTATATCAAGATACAATTTGCCAGCAGAATAGAGGAGCCTTCACCTTTAACACAGCTTCTCCTCGGAACATAACCTATTCATGTGAAAGTATGGTGATTTATACCTTTCTGAAACTGGAGTGGCTAATGTCATATAAGCAAAGTTGGGGCACTTGCTCACATGGGACACCTGCCAGTGTGTCACATCAGCAGCAGGACGACATGGTCAGCTCAGCGCATTTTTGGCCTTTGCTGCAGACAATAGACAGAGCGTGCTTTGCCACTTCTCTAATCCCTACATTATAGGGTACAAATGTCATGTACTTCATGTCTTCACTTTTACATAAAGGCAAATAAAAACATGAGCTGGAGCACTGTGAAGAATCTTTTCCTGCCCTCACAGATGAGAGCCTTCAAAGATTGCAAATTGCCCTATAAGAAAGAATCATGCTGAAAGCAAGAGCCTTGGTAATGAAGTCTTTCACTGATGTCCCTGATTGTAGGAGCAACTCCTTGTGCTGAAAATACACACACAGATATATATTTTATTTTATTTTTTCCACTAAATAACCTACCTCTTGACACGTCTTCTTAGTTTTTGCCACAATGCAGGTCTTTTAGAAATTACAGATTACTGGAGAAACAATACAATTCGTGGAATCAAGCCTGACCAGAGCAGCTGGATTTATGTGCATCGTGAAATTCCTGAGGTCACATTATCCATATGAGAATGGAGCTCCCAAAATACCCACTAACATCATATGGGAACTATGAGGTGCTTTGGAAGCAGGAGTTTCAGGTAAGATCTTCATCACTTATGCACCTCACAATCATCGTGCTGTACTCATCCTGAGGCCTGTGCAATATTGTATAGTGACATTGTCCTACTGCCCAACACAGCAGGATAGGTGATAATGCAATGGAGAAAACCCAGCTCTCAGTCTTGGAGACAAAAGTGTAACCAACAACCAAAACCTTTCACCTGTCTACAGGAGATGAACCAAACCCTGTTCAGATTACATTTACCTCCCCAAAACTGCAGATCTCTGTCCCATACCCATCCCTCTCATCCTCCTAAGTCTCCAAGGATACATAAGAAGAGGTGCATGTGGTGTTTTTATGTATCTGTGTATACAGAAAAAAGGCAAAGTTCATGAGATAATTATGTCAAGTTCTGACAGGTCTCCTAAAATTCACAAATCCCTAAATTTTTACAATTCTAAGATCTCCAGTTTTAATGTGCAGATGCTGGATGAGAATCACAGCTTTAATGGAGGGAAAGAAGGAGGAGCTGCAGATGTGGTGAGAGAGCCATCGTGTCTGTTAGTTTAAGAAGTCTTGCAACTTCGTGAAAGAAGCTCAGAATTCATGATTTTGAACATCTGGAGTGGGCCAAATGATCCATCTCTCCTCTTCATCTCTTGTCAAGGCAACAACTTGTTTATCTTATTGTCTTATCAATATTGTCTTACCGCACCCTATGCCTGCTTGTGCAGCATTTTCCCACACTGGTTTGTCCTCTAGGCACATCTTCCCATGGTTCCACCACAAACCACTGTCTCATACATTGTTCATCATATTCACTGACAGGTCCCCTGGGAGAAAACCTTTTTTTCTTAAAAGATGTGTGTTCTTAATTTACTTTAATGGTTTACTTTTTAAATTACTGTAATATCTATAGACTGCACTGATAGGTGTGTTGTGTTAGGTGCTGTACAAATGTAGACAGAGTCCTTCAAAGAGCTTGAAACTGAAACAGTGCAGTATAATATTCATCAGCAGATCTGCCAGCAAATCCAAACTTGTTTAAACCTGAGCCCTTCTAAATAGGAGACATAAAGTTCTAGATAGGAGACATAAAGTTCTAGATAGAAGACATAAAGGCCTGAGGAGGTAATCAAAGCCAGAAAACACCAACATCAAGGATGATTAGTCCCTTGTGAGGCTTGATCATACATACAGCAGTGCAGCAGGGTCTTTCCTCGATTTCAAATGCAGTGACGGGAGTGGTGCTTGCCTGATAAACTGCACAGATAGGAGAAGAGAGGAAGCAGGAACAGAAGCAACTGCACAGAAATGCTGTGCAGTTTCAGGGACAGAACTTGTTGATGGCAACTAAGCAAACTTGGAAGTTGTAAGAAAAAAAAACCTCTCTGAGCCAGCGTATTGATCTAGTGACAAACAGCTTTTATTCTTGTTACCTGTAGTAATTAGGACTGCAGTGGACACACCAGTTGATTCCTCCTCCTAATGAAAATGAAGTTCTAAAGCCTGAAAGAATGGTCAGCCAGCCAGGATGATAGACAATGCAGACCAGCCTGATAATAAAGTGTTATGACTTTAAATATGGAATTTAAAAGGTATTAGCTATCTTTCACATTACTGTCAATCAATTACTGGTTTTGTGACTATCCTGGTGGCCTTCTACAATGGTGTGACTGTGTTGGTGGATTAGAGAAGAGCAATTGATGTCATCTACCTTGACCTATGTAAGGCTTTTGGTATAGTCCCATACAACATCCTTGCCTCTAAATTAGAGAGATATGAGTTTGATGCAGGATTGGTGTACTCATCCGTTCTGTTGCTTGTGAGTACACAAGTGTCATGGCTCCGGATAAGAGACTGAGGTTGAGCAATGGTATCAAAAATCATGCACGTGACGAAACTGCATCTTGCCATGTATTAAATCTGTTCAAACTGCAGGGGATAAGTTCCCGTCAAGGATTCGTGATTCACTCCATTTTCTTTCTCTAGACCATATCACTGAGAAGGCTATCCTTTCAGCACAAAAAGTAAAGGGGATCAGATATAGTTTAGACTTTGGAAATAACAAGCTGTTTGAGAACATGAAGTTTTATACTCTCGATTCACTTGTTAGGAAACTGAGTTGTTTGCAAATGTTCTCACCCACTACTAGTATAAAGCCTGAGCTTGCTAGTAGAAAAGACATGGTACTCTTTCAAGTACTTTCATCACCTGTCTGTTAAAAAACTTCATGTCAGCATCTATTTAAATGGTTGTCTTTCAGAGAAGAAAACCTGAAAAAAAAACCCCTCCTTTTTAGGACTGTAGTGTTGGCTTGAACTTCTTCATGTGTGTTATGTTTTTTGGAAGAGTATGGCTTAATTGCTCAAGAGATCTGACATGTTGAACTCCATTTTAAGACATGGAGACTTTCAGATGATGACATTCTTGTGTTTTTTTCGTGTGCAGGAGAAGCTGTCTTTAGAGAGTCATGAAAATTGAGAGGCGTCTTGGTATTTGCTGTTTTATTTTGTCTTTCCTGGGTTATTGTTCAGCACTATCTGAACTTCTCTGAGTAAGACAGAACCCTCTTGATAGATTCTTCAGGCTGGTTTCATTCCAGGATGTGTCTTTTAAAAACCGAGTAAAAGGAAAATTATATATACTGGATGGTAAATCAGACAGACAGACATAAAGAACTGCTGCTGCAAAATAATTCAGTGTTATTTGTAATCCAGTTCCAAACTACTCAGAAATATGTGCTAATTTTTTATGTTAATGACATATCTATATGTAAACCTACTTTGTAATTATTTTTTTCTTGCTAAGATATGCACATCTTTTCTGTGGAAATGTTTTATAGGCTTTTAAAAACTGAAGGAAACTCTTTGATCATATATTCTTCTGTCCTCTGGCTCAAGTGACATTCTTCAACTCTGTTACATATGGTTGCATTGGGCCCCCTTCTACACAACTGGTTTGTAACACTAAAATCCTGTCAGAAATTTCTGCGTTTTTTCATGTGAACTTATCACATAGAGAGATGGCAAAATTGTTCATAGGAAAAAGTTAACAGCCATAGACCTTCATTTATCTGAGGCTTCATTCTACCACTTCTCATAACAAGTTGGATATAATTCAACAAATAGCTCTTCTGGAGTCACTAGAACTATTTGAATTAGAAGTTACTAATCAATACACATATCCCAGTATGCATATTCTAGCCTCTGTTTAAATCATCTGTGGCTTTTTATTGGTTTGAGGATCTCCTACTTGATGTTTCAGGTCTCAGATCTTCAAGAAGGTCACAGTCTTGCATAAAACCTGCTATTCAGCAAAGGATACATAGCATGATCTAACCAGTTGCAGACTACTCATCGTTGTTCACCATTACTCTTGCCGGAGATTTAACAACCTGACTTCTTGCTAGAGTACTTAACTGTACTGCAAGAGGTTATGGATTAACTATATGAGCACTTAAGCTTAGAATCTAAATGGACTGGTAGCCTGTACCTAAATGGAGTGATTAAGTACAGATTGTCTCAACCTGGAAGGCAGTTGAGACAAAGAGTGGCAATAACTCTGTAACAGTAAGTTAATGAGCATCTGTAATTTTAGACTGAGCTTTGTACTCCTCTGGATTCCTTGTGGGGATATGTGAACCTCATAAGGTTCAACAAAGCCAAGTGCAAGGTTCTGCAGCTGGGTTGGGCCAACCCCTGGTATCAATACAGGCTGGAGGATGAAGGGATTGAGCAGCTGCATGGAGGAGTACTTGGGAGTGCTGGTGAATGAAAAGCTGGACATGGGCCAGCAATGTGCACTTGCTACCCAGAAATTCAACTGTATCCTGGGCTGAATAAAAAGTGTGGCCAGCAGGTTGAGGGAGGTGATTCTGCCTCTCTGCTCTGATGAGATTCAATACAGGCTGGAGGATGAAGGGATTGAGCAGCTGCATGGAGGAGTACTTGGGAGTGCTGGTGAATGAAAAGCTGGACATGGGCCAGCAATGTGCACTTGCTACCCAGAAATTCAACTGTATCCTGGGCTGAATAAAAAGTGTGGCCAGCAGGTTGAGGGAGGTGATTCTGCCTCTCTGCTCTGATGAGATCCACCTTGAGTACTGCATCCAGCTCTGGAGTCCTCAGTACAGGAAAGACATGGACCTGTTTGAGTGGATCCAGAAGCAGGCCACAAAGATGACCAGAGGGCTGGAGCACCACTCCAAAGAGGACAGGCTGAGACAACTGGGGCTATTCAGCCTGGAGTAGAGAAGTCTTCAGGGAGACCTGTGGTCTTTCAATATTTTAAGTAAGGGGTCTTATAAGAAAGCTGAGGGCAGACTGTAGTGATAGGGCAAGCAGTAAAGAATTTAAACTAAAAGAGGGTAGATTCAGACTAGATAGAAGGAAGAAATTTTTAACAATGGGGATGGGTGAAACACTGGAACAAGTTGCCCAGAGAGGTGGTAGATGCCTCATCCCTGGAACTCTTCAAGGTCAGGTTGGAAGAGCTCTGAGCAGCCTGATGTATTTGGAGATATCCCTGCTCATTGCAGAGGGCGGGGGTTGGACTAGATGAGGTTTAAAGGTCCCTTCCAACCTGAACCATTCTATGATAAAGCTCTGTTATCCTTAGTTTTCTTTCCAGCATGACAAGAATAGATCGGTAGCTTGCTGCCTGTACAAAATGTTTTTGAAACCACATCAGCACAACAACTGATACCTCTTTTTCATCACGAAGTCTAATTAAAAAACGTGAGATACAACTGCATTTCAATTGGGATATCATTTCAGTATGTCAACCAAAAAAAATGGACCTAGTATTTTCTTCCTGTTGTGTCACTCTGTTTTCCTCTACAGGCTGTTTTTGCACTTTGGTTTCTTCTACTTGAGCACAAGTCAGGCAGAGACCCTCCTGCTTGTACTATGGTAGCTAATCAAGAAACTGCAATGCAGTACAAGTAAGAAGCTTTACCTGTTGAGGTTCCAGAAAGCTCATGCACTATAGTTATGGCTCCAAGGAGCAACACAGAGGTGTTCCCCAAAATTCAGACTTTGGCCAAAACATCTTCTCATTTTCACATGAATTGACTTAGAAACTATTCCATCTTCTGGTCTGATGTAGTTATCAAATTACAGCAAAACACAACACTGAGAGCTAACTAACCTACAGGGGGAAGCTGCTGTTTTCTCTTGCTCTGAATAAATCTGATTGGTCTGCTCACCACTTGCAGATAAAGTGGCTATATACCTTCAGTGAGCGCCATCAGCACTTTTGTCCAAAATACAAAAGGAGAATAAGGTACCCTGGTTGTTATTACTGAATCTTATTTTGTGAATTACACTTGCGTAGAAATGAGTGTGATATTACAGACTCTAGATGCAGGTAGCAAACTAGACTGAATAAGGAAGATTAGAAACATCGTTTGCATACAGATACCACCTTCTGGCACTGAATGCAACAAAAGGAGTAAAGAGGGGACATAGAATTTGAATAAGGTTTGGTAGTTATTTGCCTGATTGTGGGACTGAATTTTCTTTGGTGCTCAGATGCTCCTGTTCCTACGTTGAATCGGTATTTAGAGTTTCTCTCTTTTACATGAAAAGAACTTGATAGGATGTGGCACACTATCCATGATTGTTCATATTGATACTGAGGAGAGACCTGCAAGCTGTACAAAGTCTTTTATGTAAAACAGGAAATACAATGAGTCACTAAGGAATGAGAGATCTATGTTGTTTAAACCACCCATACTCTGGCAGAAAACATGCAGTGCAATTCCAATTTTAGAATGAATACCATTGAAAAGGAAAAACCAAGTCAATTTTGGAATATTGCTGTGTTTTGACAAGACAGCGTAAAGTGTGAAATACCCAGCAGTAACAACGCCCTGGATCACACAACTGTACTCCAGTTTTCCTCCAATGATTACCACTTTACATAGTGTCTTTTATCTCATTCCTTCTGGACAGATAGATGATTCTTTTTAAGAAAATTAAATTTTTGTTTCTCCTTCTAGAGCAGGGACTATTAAATGCTACATACAGTCCAGGTGATTTATTTTTCTCTCTCTATAATAATAGTATATCATTACCTGTTATTTTTGCAAGAACCTCCTGTTACAATCATCTTGATCAGTCAAATACTGCTGCTGTAGGCAACTTGGAGCAATAGAAAGCCAGAGCTTTTGTGTTTCATCTTCTGAATGAAAATAGCACTGCTTTTAAGTATCGAACCTCTTATTTTCACATTCAGGAGGTCCTCAGTGATAAAATATGGATAAGAGCGTCTCCACAAACAGGGAAGTTAACTGAAGTTGCAGGAGTGAGATAACCAAAACATTGGGGAATTAACTGAAAATGCAAAAGTTAGACAACTAAAAGACTGCAAAAGTTAAACTTTTAATATTTCTGCTATGCTTTAAGTTATCCAGAATGCTACTATAAAGTATTTAAAATATTTACAATCTGAAATTGGCTTCCTTTATATAACAATAAAGCTTTAATTATAACTACAACATTGTGGCGGCTACTCATTCTACAAAGGACCTTTAAAATAACCTTTCCCCCTTGCATTGGGTGGCGTTGGGCAACATACACCACAGGGTGAGATGCCCAACCAACAGCCCTAGGACTGGGAAATGCTGCTTCTTAGGGCAGGCAGTGCTGTCCCTGTTTCCTTCTAAGCAGAAGTGGAACTGTAAGGTGGTTGGAGGACGTGGCACTGGCATCAAGGCTCAGGAGTGCCTGTTGGGACCTAAGCCCTGAACCCACAGTTCATCCAGGGCTCGATTCCAGGTGAGACATAGCTTTGGAAGGCCTGACTAGCACTGTAGAGCCCCAAAGCAACTGGGCAGCAGCCCAGGTCAAGGAGGACTGCCAGACCTGTTGGGCTCATAGCATGTTCCTGTAGTGGTGCTGCCCTGCACAGGCCTGGTATCAAAGCCCCTGAGAGAACAGGGAGGGGAGACAGAAGCCCACAGAGGCAGGACTAAGATCTTAGCTTCAGGGTAGAGCCTGGCTGAGAGCCCTAACCTGTTCCCAGGCTTCCCTCAGAGGAAGCCCAAGGCTGCAGATTGTTCCCTGGCACTGGGAAGAGGCAGCCTGAGTAGAAACTTCTTAACTTCATCAAGGAAGAGATGGCCATAAGCTGACTCAGGCAGGTAATCCACTTCATGGCACTCTCACATACAACTGCTGCCTGTAACTCAGTGAAGGGCAATAGGACCTGGCAAGAGAAAAGCTGCTTCTCTCTGCAACCTGAGAGCTGCTCCAAGAAGCAGTATTGCTAAGGGTCTGACCAGGTGTACATCTTCCTCCTTGGAGGAGGAACAAGGCCTGTAATGCAGTTCTCTCCTCCATGGTTGTCAGCAGGCACAAGGGAAATCCCCCAGACTGACCTGCTGTGGCCAGGCATAGATCCAGATCCCACCTCTGCTGCAATCTCTGCTACTTTCCAAAAACAGATCACGCCAGAAGGTTCTGGTGCCAACTGCTAACATGACAGTGAGCCAGCAGTGATATTGCACTAATTGAGACTCCCTGGTTCCCATACATGAGCTGATTCACCCATCAGAGTGAAAGAGTGATCAGCAAGACTAATTTAACCTTTAAATATCCCACATGGCCAGTGCAAAAGTCTGATGGAGGGTGGAAGTTAACAGTGGACTATCATGGGCTGAACGAAGTCACACCACTGTTCAGTGCCGCTGTACTTGATGTGCTAGAAACTAGCACATACAAACTAGAATAGTACATACAAAAAATAGTACATACAAACTAGAAAATAGTAGAAAATAGAAAATAGTACGTACAAACTGGAATCAAAGACAGAGAAGTGGTGTGCTACAACTGATATTGCCAATGCATTTTCTCAATTCCTTTGGCAGCCGAGTGCAACAGTTTGCTTTCATGTGAAGTGGTGCTCAACACACCTAGAATCAAGTGCCCCAGGAGTGGAAGCACAGTCCTACCATTTGTCAGTGGACTAATTCAAGCTGCACTGAACAAGGTGATCCCCCTGAACACCTACCATACATCAACGACATCATCATGTCAGGCAACAAAGCAGTGCTGGGCAGGCAGCAGTGTCTAGGGGTGGGAGTCTGGCATTTGGTGTCTAAGGAATTGAGTAGCAGGGCCTCTGGGGGCTAGTGAAGAAGCCAAGACACCTGGGATCATTGGTGTTGATGAAACATTTGGGGCTAGCTATTAGAGTAGAGCAAGGGTAGTGAGCAGCAGGGCACCTGGGCTTCCTGGAAAGCAGCTTCTCTCCCCAGCCTCCCCTCTCACAAGATGGGGATCTCCTCCAGTCACACCTGATGGCTGTCTGCTTCCCTGGTGTTGCAGGTAGTTTTGCATCTACATCCCATCACTCAGCTGAACCTAGAGGCTCAAATGGCCCTGCTGAACTCTGCCTCATGAGGGAGCTGTGTCCTCAGGACACAGAGATTCTGCATGGGCTGATCGCCTGTATATCAGCCCTAGATACCTACAATGGGGTTGAGGGAAAATCTTCCTCCCTTCCTCCCTTCCTCCCTTCCTCCCTTCCTTCTTCTGCACTCCCTGCCCAGAGGGTGTCTCCAGACAGTCCCCCAGTTGTGCCACATAGAGACAGAGGGGCAGGGAACATGAGGATTTAGGGCTGTGGGAGACAGGACAGGAGTATGTGAGAGCAGGGTAGCAAGGGTCACTGACTGTGGGAGGGGCTCCAGTTCTGGAGGACTTTTCTCACATTCAAACAGGGCCCTGCTGTGGGTCAAGATGAGGGAAGTTCAGACCTCACAAGTATTAGGGGAGATTGGGTTCTCTCCAGCACTTTCCTTGCAGATGAGCAGTGTCCTGGCCCATCCCAGCTTGAAGAGCATCAGCAGTTTTGGGTAAACC